CTGCCCAAACTATTGCCTCTGGCATTTATCCACTTAGGTTTTAATGCGTCCTTTCTTTTCTTGAGGAGCCCTGATGGTGAAATGGTTAAGCACTTGGCCGCTAACTGAAAGGTCAGCTGTTCGAACCCACTAGCCACTCCGTGGGAGAAAGATGTAGCAGTCTGCTTCCTTAAAGATTACAGCCTTGGAAGCCCCATGGGGCAGTTCTACTCTGTCCTATAGGGTCACTATGAGTTGGAATTGACTCAATGGCAATGAGTTTTAGGTTCTTTTCCTGATCCTTGTGACTTGACCACATACCAACTTCGCTTTTTCCTGCCATCTTACAGAAATTAGGTGCTCAGACCTCAAATGTTCAAACTCTAGACTCTTCCTCTTGTTTTTCAGCTGTGTTTCTCATACTATAGCTGGTAAGTGGCACCAACATCACCCATTAAACAATTCTATTTGAACTTTTTGATGCTTTAGATCCTAAATCAATGGTTTTCAAAACTTGATACATACTAGAATCATCTAGGGAATTTTTTCTAGCATAGATATTCCCAACTATGGTGATTTTGATATAGGCCTTGGGTAGAACTGTAAATGTTCTTTTTTAAGAAGATTCCTGAGGGTTTGAATTCTAATGCGAAACCAGGTTTACCATCTAATATTGTAATCAGAAAATAGCTATATAAATAATAAAGAATTTTATTTACAATTTAAGCAATAAAAACAGAAAATTCAATTGTGGAAATTACCAGGTTTTCCCATACTAAAAAAAAAAAATTAAGTCAGCTTTCACATAAAGATGTTGTTCACATAAAGAAAGTTCTCTTCTTTGACATTTCAGAGTTCTGCAGTTTCAAATGTCAAAAACTGCTACGTTTAAACATGGTTGAAACTTTAGCGTGCCCCACATCACTTGTCTTTTCTATACGAATTAATGTAGCTTGCATTCAACAGAGACTTTCCAAAAAAGAGAAGTAACCTCAATTTAATAACTACAAAACCAGCTAGTTGACCATCCTGCTTGATCTTATTCAGAGAGCTCTTGTTGCTTGTGACAATTTAATGGCTCAAAACAGCCTTAGTTCTATAGTCTAATAAAGAGTTAATAATGCCTAGTAAGGAGTTTGTTATATGGGTCTCATGTCAAAATAATTATTTTAGAACAAACATCTGTTTTTAACTATTTGTGCATGAATTTAAACCTGGTGACACCCCTTTATCAAGTATTTAATATACGTATAAACTCCAAACAAACAGAAATTGGGTTTTAAATCTTTGTGTCTGTAAATGCCTGGATTGGCCAGTTTCACAATTTTCTTAAACCTGCATTTAAAAATTAGCTGTATCTCTTAAGCTTCAGTGTTTAGTGGAAAATAAATGGGAAGAGTGTGACAGCATACTGTCTTTTTAGATATATGCAATTTGGAAGCTAGAGCTAACCCTTACTTTCCCACTGTGGGGACGGCACTGAGCTGACTTTGATTTTCCTCTTTGAGTCACATCTCATTTGGTCTACCATGGCATGAGCATTCTTGTTTCTGGGCTCTTGTTACTAACTGTAAATAGTTCTTAGTTTTCTTTCGTGTTAGTCTTGTTGACTCAGAAATGGCTTTTTAGGGCCAGAGTTTTGTCCTTCTATCCTGAGTGCGGAAAGTGTGCATGCCTTCTGTGGGAATTAGCATGCTCTAACTCTGGCAGCTGTGTTCTCTCTGTGCTGTGTCACTGGGAAAGTTTTTAAGGCCTGTTTGTAGGAAGAGTATCTTTCGAAAAGCATGGCTTTGAAGTCAGATAGATTTCTAAGCTCCCTACAAAAAAGACTACATAAACACTATAAAGCAACTCTCATAGTGTTAGTGTATAAGGAAAGGAGATAAAGTTTATAAAGCGCTATATAACGCAATATATATAAATTGGAGCCCTGGTGGTGCAGTGGTTAAGAGCTCGGCTGCTAACCAAAACGTCAACAGTTTAAATCCACCAGCTGCTCCTTGGAAACCCTATGGGACAGTTCTCTGTCCTATAGGGTTGCTATGAGTCAGAATCGATTCTATGGCAACGGGTTTGGTTTTATTTTTTTTTTAATATACATATTGAACTTATCTATCAATACATCTATCTATATACACGTATAGGTAGATAGAGATACAGATATATATAGATATCTATCTCGATATATAGACCACATGGGAACCCTGGTGGCGCAGTGGTTAAGAGCTACAGCTGCTAACCAAAAGATCAGCAGTTCAAATCCACCAGGTGCTCCTTGGAAACCATATGGGGCAGTTCTACCCTGTCCTGTAGGGTCACTATGGGTCGGAATTGACTTGACGGCAACAGGTTTGGTTTTTGATTTATATAGATCACTATATAGCACATGGCAAGTATTCAATATATGTTGACATTATTATTATTTTACTCTTGCTTGAAATCTGAACTGAAAACGGCCCTTTTGTGGCATAACAACATGGACACTTCTCATACTATGTCACTGACTACCCCCCTACTAAATAAAAGTGGTTGGATTGATCTGAATGTATGTTCGCATCTTTTCCACTCAAGCACCTTATTGGGCCCATGAAGGAAGGAGCCCTACCTCACGGTGCTTTTTAATTGCCCAACATTCAGTCTACTCATTATATATCTGGCGGTTTAACTCACAGAATTGCTAAGATCCCATTTTCAAACATGACTTCAAAAACTGACATCTCTCCATGTACTAATTAGAATGACACCAGGGAAGAGCTTAGACTAATAGAGGCCCAACACATAGTAGCAACATGAATTGCATGAAGCACCACTGTGTGTTTCAAAGTTTTAAGTTTCCATTTCACACACGTTTTGCCTGGGAACTCAACAGGAAGTTTAGTGACAGAACAAATTAATAATAAATGGCTAATAATGGGGGAAGAACAATTTGGAAAAGAAGGGTGAGAACAGTTGCACAACTTGAAGAATGTAATCAATGTCACTTAATTGTACATGTAGAAATTGTGGAATTGGTTTGTGTTTTGCTGGATATACTTTCAACAACAATAAAGCCTCAAGAAATCAAAACCCATTGCCATCCAGTCGATTGCGACTCATACCGACCCTATAACCAAAAACCAAACCCATTGCCGTGGAGTCAATCCTGATTCATAGCAACCTTATAGGACAGAGTAGAACCGCCCCATAGGGTTTCCAAGCAGCGCCTGGTGGATTCGAACTGCCGACCTTTTGGTTAGCAGTGGATCTCTTAACCACTAAGCCACTAGGGCCCAAAAAGATAAATAAATGGGTAAATGAAGCCTAGTTTATGCTTTAGTCAACTTGGGAAATGTGACATTTTACATGCCAGCCCATAGTAGATATTCAATAAATAACTGTTGAATTAATTTGGGGGAAGAAAAATAACTCAACGTCTCTTGGCATTGATGGCCTCCTCTGTAAAGAGATATTATTTTTTCTTTTTTTGAGCAGGTTCTTAAAAAGTTATGATTCTAGTAAAAGCAAGCTTATCTTCACAATCATGACAAGCTTTCTCAATGGTTTTCTTAATCCAGGCAGAAAGGGCAGTTTTAAAAAGGCGATGAAGTTGCCGGAATTACTGGATGGGAAATCACCAGGCGATTTTCTTTACTGCAGGAATGCAGACGGGCTTCGGGCTTCGCGGTTCTTCGGGGAGAAATGTGTAACTCCTTATCTTACTCTCCACGTTCTTGGGTTGGCTGGAGACACCCTGGGGGTAAACCTGGGAGGGTAAGAGGGAGCAAGCAATTTCAATACTTCACCTTCTAAAGAGAAGCTAATGAGGAAGTCAGGCTGTAAAGGTCAACTATTGTGAGAGGAAATTGAACTTAACTGTAGGCCGTGACCGATTTAAAAAAAAAAGGCAGGGGGAAAAGGAGTAGGGGGGCGCAGGGGAAAGAAAGACTAGCAAAGGAAAACCACGAGAAAGAGTAGAGTTTGTCGCGCTGTTCGTTGTTTCTCCTGCTTCTTCTGTCACTCCGTCTATCCGCAACGATCCCCAGCAAGAAGCTAAAAAAGTTTGCAAACGCGGCATTCGGGATGAGCAAGCGGGCTCCAACTGCAGATCCACGAAGAGAAGCACCCGCTTCGCCCTACTCCATTTGCGCCGCTACGGTTTTTTCCCCTCTCCTGCTAACGGACGACGGAGGGCTGATGGCGAGATGGGAAGAAATAGCTCTGGAGGAGACCCCAACATCCCAGAGAACTCGGGCAGCGTGCAACTAACTCTCTTTTTCTCTCGGGCAAAACCTCTCTCGCTCCTGCACACTCCTCCCGGAAAAGAAAAAGGAAACATCGAACCTCTAAACCGGCCTTACTGCCGCCCCCCTCTTCGTGGGCCAGCTAAAGCCGAAAGTACCGTTCTGTGATTCACTGGAAAAAGGGGGAGGAGGCAGCAGAGAACTCTCAAGTGCCAAAAAACTAAGTAAGTTAGCTAACAAAACGCATGCAGCTTTCAGGCGTCTCCGCCGGGTGCACCGATTCCGCAAGGAGACCAAGTGGGCTCGGCGTGGAGTGGCCGTGGGGGCAGGGACCCCGCTCAGTCCCCAAGCGATCCAGCGACACCGGAGGACTTGTTCCCCGAAGTACCAGAGAAAGGGGTGTTTAGCCGGAGAGGGAGATCAGGAAACTGGGCTTTTTTTCTCACTTCGCCGCCTGGGGAGTGTCGGGAGATTCACAGACGCCTCAAGTGGACCGGGAAAAACAAAGCTCCCTGGAAAAGTGGAGAAGGTGGTTCTGGCAGCCAGTCCACTCTATGCAGCTAGCTATCTACAGAACGAGACGCGGCGGCTCAACTTCCCCAGCGCTTTCCAGGTAAGGGGACGACTGAATGCACCGTCGATCCCGCCGCCAACAGTGCGTGCGCGCCCCTGAGAACCTCGATCCCCATCGTCGAGGACGCGTGGGTCATGAAACTTCCTGTCCTGTGTGATTCTCAATTCCTTACTTGATTTTTTCATTCGAGAACTTTTTGGTAGAGACATTAACTTTTTTGGTAGAAGCTGCTCTGAGGAATGGGGGCGGTGGGAGGAGGAAGAGAGAGGACAGTGAAATTTGAGGGAGAATAGTGACTCTTCCCTACGTTCCCGAAGTCCCATCTCTTGAACCATCACTTCTAGAAGAGAAAAATTAAATTTGTTGGATGTGGTGACAGCTGCGAGGAGCGCAAGACCTCTTTTCAGGTGAGGACCCTCCACAGCCTGTTCCGTCTACCCCTCCGAGTGCATGTGTGCGCCGGCGGCGGCGGGGGGCGCGTGGTTTTGCGCGTGGAGCTTCCGCTGGGACCAGAGTGAATGGCCGCCAGGGACTGTTCGGGGCTGCCGCCTCCGCCGCCTCCGCAGGCCTGGGTCTGGCCTGGAAAGATGCTAGCCACGGGAGCGCTGGCAGGCTTCTGGGTCCTCAGTCTCCTCACCTATGGTTACCTGTCCTGGGGCCATGGCTTGGAGGAGGAGGAGGAAGGGGCCATGCGAGGTCAAGCTGGAGAAAGACTGGAGCCGACCACAACCGCCACCTCCCAGCCCCATCTCATTTTCATCCTAGCGGATGATCAGGGATTTAGAGATGTGGGTTACCACGGATCTGAGATAAAGACACCCACCCTTGACAAACTCGCTGCAGAAGGGGTTAAACTGGAGAACTACTATGTCCAGCCTATTTGCACACCATCTAGGAGTCAGTTTATTACTGGAAAGTAAGTATTACTGCTTCTTTTATTTATGCCTTCGAGAAATTTTAAGCATTTAATTAAGATTCAGGCCCTAATACAAGGGAATAACAGAAAATATGAGGAAAAAGTGAATGGGTGAATGAATGCATGAATGATTTAAGATATTGGATCACGGTGAGTGTTAAAATGAATACCCTGTTAATGTTCTGGAAAGTCCAGTTACCTTTTTCCTTACCCTAACAGCCTGCTCTGAAGTGACTTCAGAGTTTATAATGAGATAAGGGCTTGCAAACACTCAACCACCCACAAGAGATCTCCAGAAGTGTCTCCTACTCTAAATCTATTCTGACTTTTGAGCTAGTTCACATTTTGTTTCAGGTGTCACAACCATCACTAATAAGAAAGACCAAAATATTTCTGGGACTCATGATCTTAAATCTAGCATTTAATTATCAAAGCCATAGGTCATCACAGAGACGACACCTAGGAAACAAATGGAGGTCATTGTAAAATATGACCAATGTAAATCTGACTCTGTTTGGGTCTTTGACAGATAACTTTTTCTGGTAACATCATTAATACACAGCACAGATAAGGGCCATATTTAATTATCAAGGCAATTCTCAAAATACAAGAAATTCAATAGTAAATATTCAACAGAGATTGAACTTTATCTGAAGTTTTCAGCTGCTGATCCTCACATCTCTGGAACTTTTCTGATTAACTCGAACAAAAATAAGATTATTTGGATGCTTAAGTAAAGTGTTCTTAATGTTGTCATTTTGCTAAATAGCTAAATCTACTTAAGGTATTCACACATTTTCATATTTTTACTCTATTCTATAAAAATATAGGTTATTCTAACTGATTTGGTTTCCAAACTCAGCCTGTGGAACAGAGCTAAGTTAGGAGCTGGGGGTCAAGCTACCACTGGACACCCTACCACTGAGGCAGAAGAGAAGCCTTTGCTGGTTTTAGTCTATGTATCTCAAGATTTCGGTTGCAAGAAAACCTTGCTTCAGTGAAGTTGTTCTTGGAAACGGATCCTGTAAAAGTAGCCAGTATCCACTGGAAAAATAAAGACTATTTTGTAGGAATCTCTGTCTTGCAGGGACTTTTGCTTACAGCATGATTTCCACTGCTTAGCAAACTGTCAGAACTTAGCATCACTGCCAGAAAGGGGGAAAAAAAAATCCCATCCTTCCTTCTTTTAAGAGAGAAAAAAAGAAGTTTCACTGTAGTTCAGAGTCATTTTAAAGGTTAATTGTGGCATAAGAATGTCAAGAGCATTGGATATTCATAAAGGGGCAGATTGTTGGCTGGAAAATAGTAAGTCCATCTGGTGGCCTGGAGGTCAAGTTCTTCATGTCTTATCACAACTGCTCTTATATGTAGTTCATGAAATAAATGTGTCAAAAATGCTTACTCAACCTCCTCAACTAATTTATAGAATTTAGATTTACTCCTATTATCAATATTAGTTGGAAAACACGACTAAATTATGTGACTTTGTGTTTCACAATAGAGTATATGTTCAAAGTTTTTCACCAAACGAGAAAATTTAGTTCCTAAACATTATCTTTCACTGATAAACTATCTAGTTTTTATCCCTTAATTTTTATGATTACTTAATTATATATAACAGAAACTAAGCTGGAAATAATTCCTAATCTTTTGCTTTGGTCAAATATTGACTCTCCTGTACTTTCAATGCCAGCAAACATTAATGAGAGGACATCTTTTCCTATTAAGATTTGCTGTTCAGTGCAACATGTTGTGTAACTGCTTTATAGCCAAAAAGTTCAAATAGCTACTGCAATTTGATTTCAATTTCTGTTTGAATTACACAGTTGAAGATGCTTTCACTTGCAGTCTTCCTTTTAGACAAATTGCTGGAAGGAATTATAACTTTCTTAGAAATGAACACAGACTAACACAGAAGAAAAGTGGCTACGGAAGCCTAGTTCTGGGCTAAATTTCAATAATGTAGAGCCAGGAGGATATGGTTATTTGCCCTTTCCAGGAGGACAAATAAGGACAGTAAGTGTCTGTGCTTTCTGGATCCTATAAAGTAAAAAAAGGACGCAATGAAAACCTAAATGGACTGAATTATTTTAAGGGAAAAATGAGCTATTGGAAATGTGAGAATATTGAAAGATCCCCACATTACAAAGAAAAATAGTTTAAATAATTGAAGCTGAAGTTACTTTTGATGATATTAGCAAAACAACTCTCTCCTTTTCATTTTGCTAGTTGAAGGGTAAAATCTATTTACTTCTACTGCACAAATTTATAGCAAATTCCAGATTTCTTTAATAATATACATCAGATAAGCCTGGCAGTATTGACTGTCAGTCAGTTTCTCAATAAGCATTCACTGTATGCCGAGTCTTGTATTGTAGCTGTGAGGAATAAACAAGAAATAAGCCCTAATCTCTAGGAAGTGGTTCTCAAATTTGAGTGTGCAAAAGAATCACTCAAAATTCTAGTTAAAATGCAGCTTTCCGGGCCCAACCAATGATTTGGCTTCAGTAAATATGGGATTGAGCCTAGAAATCAATATTGATTTAATATACAGGTCAGGTTATTCTTATAATAAATTAAGAGTATTATCAAATCCTAGCATCTGTTGAGCAGTTACTATGTTCTGGGATAATGCATTTTCTTGCTTAATGCTCATAATAATTTCATGAGGTAGTTGCTATTGTTACCCCTATCTTATAGACTTGGCTACAGATTCCAAGAGTGGTAGCGATGCTGGGCTTCTGTACACTGGACTTTGAGAAACAGCACTGTAGGCATTTATAGTGAGCCTGGTGAGATGAAAGGTTTATTGAAAAAGTGGCTGCCTGTAGGGTCACTGAGTCAGAATTGACTCGACGGCAGCGGGTTTGGTTTTTGGTTTTGAGTTTATTTCACGGTAACATTCTCATATTTTTTTTACAATTGTTTTTTCAAATACATGGAAAAATGACATGTTTTCTTCTTAATAGAGGACGTAGTGATGGATTCATAAAGAAAATTACAACTTCTACAAAATTGAGACATGAGGTTTATGAAGTCAGACTTCAAAGTAGGAAAGGTTGGCAATCTGAACTGAATTTATAAGTTTGACAATAATTTTGTTTTTACTATGATGTTACTCGTTTATCCCTCTTGAAATATCATGATGATTATTTTTAACAAATGCAAAGGCAATCCAAGTAGTGTGCATAGGTTGTAATTAGGATATTTGATGAATTTATCTTGTTTTGAGACAAATTTACATACTTCTCTACATAAGGTCACGGGTCCACTGATCCCCTCCAGGCAATATTATAGAGAAAAAAATGTATGATGGCAGTTTAATCTGGAAAATCAAGATGCTAAAAGGGCCTTAGCAAAGAATAATTTGATTCAGTAAGCCATTCATTCAGTAAAAAATAGATACTGAGCTCCTAATTAATGGCTAACACTCTTGTGGCACTGGGGAAATGCTGGTGAACCAGACAGAAATTCTTCCTTCAAGGATCTTATGGGAGAGGACAGTCAATAAAGATGCAGCAAAGTACAGGTATGATTTCAGGCAGTGGTAATATTACAAAGAAAAACAAAGTAAGCTAAGTGGAAAGAGGATGATGAGAATGGTGGTGGTATTTTTGGTAGAGTGGTCCGAGGGGACCTGAAAAGTAAGACAGAAGCTATGCGAAGGCCTGGGGAAACAACATTCCAGGTAGAGGGAAGAATATGTGTAAGGGTGCTGGGGCAGGAATGAGCTTGGCATGATCAAGAGTATAAGGCTGTACATAGCCTTATAGCAAGAAAGTCAGTGGTTGAGTGTAGTGAACAACAGGAGGGTGCTGGGAAATAAGTTTACATGGACATACGACATAGGCAACAGTTAGAACTTTGAATTTTATTCTAAATGTTACAGGAAGTCATTGTGAAGTACTGAGCAGAGAAGAGGCATACCTAATTTACATGTTTTAAAGATTAATCTTACTACTGTTGAAAAAATAGAATTTAGGGAAGCCAGACTGAAACCAGGGGGACCAGAGTCCTGATGAGAGATGAAGGGATAGGTCTGGAATAGAGTCGGAGTAGTGAGGGTGGTGAGAAGGATAGCATACACAGATAAAAATGAACAAGTAATAGATGCATAGCTCAAAGAATTTTTTTAAAAAATCAAGAAACTCAGCCTCCTTCTGAGCATTTGTCACTATCCCTCTCACTGTTCACCAAGGGTAATCACTCTCTCCACTTTATATAAATGGAATTATAGAGAATGTACTCTTTCATGTTTAGCTTCTTTCTCTCAGCACTGTTTGTAAAATATTTTCTTCTTGTTACCTGTAGATATAATTCTTTGTTCTCATTACTGAATAGTATTCCTTTGTTTAAATATACCATAATTTTTTTTTAATGCAGTCTACTGTTGATGAACATTTGGGTTGTTTCCAGCGTTGGGCTATTATGAATAGTGCTTCCGTGAACATACTTGTATATGTTTTCTGGTGAATGTATGTATGCTTTTCTCTCAGATATCTATCTAGGAGTGGAATTGCTAGGTTATGGGGACATGTAGGTTCAGTTTTTGTAGATTCTGTCCAACTGTTTTCCAAAGTGATTCTCCAGGTTATACTCTCACCAGCAATGTATGCAGACGTCCATTTGCTTCACATCTTTGTCAACATTATTTTTTGGTCATTTTAGTCATTCTGGTAGTTATGCAGTGATACAGCATTATGGTTCAAATTTGTATTTCCCTGATGACTAAGTTGAGCATCTTTTCATATATTTATTGATCATTTGGATATCCTCTTTTAAGAAGTCTCTGTTCAGCTTTTTTGCCCATTTTCCCATTATATAATTGCCTTTTTCTTATTGACTTGTGGGAGTTCTTTATATATTCTAGATGAGTCTTTTGTCAGATATATTTATTGCTGATATCTTCTTCCATGCTGTCTCTTGCCTTTTCACTCAGTTAATAGTCTTTTTGCATGAACATAAGGTTTTAGCTTTATTGTTATTAAACTTACAATTTT